TTCTTAACCCTTCTTAAATGTCCCCTGAGATAGGCTCCTTTATTCTTCTTTTAGGCAGTTGCACACAAAGTGTGTGTTCTGGGAAAAGAGGCTGCAATAGGCACTATTTAGCTGCCAGGGAACTAACATGCATTTAGATTCAAGCACACATGGGCTCCAGTTCTCACACTTAGGACTGTTTCGGTTTTAAACCTTACTTTGAAGTAATTAAGTAACTGCAGGAAATAAAGAAATCCATGTAATCTTGTGCAAGCTGCCAGCAATGGTGGTATCTTGTAATCTGCAGTATAACGTGAGACCTGAGATGTTGATATTCAAATATTCGGAGCAGTTTTGATGGAAATAGTTTGGCATGGCAGAGAAAGGGTCTCTCAGTCAACTGAAGTGTCTGGACAAGGCAAACACAATTTTTATAGTATTTGTTAGGAGAAACTCAGATTTGATATTTCTTACAGTGCTGAGGATCACATTTAGCCCTTGAGCATTTAGTAAACACTTTACCAGTGAGGTTCACCCATGTTGTAGGGCATTGATACTTATTTACTGCTATTATCTAAACTGCAGATGTTAGTCTCCACCATGTAATGGTTTGACATTGCTAACACCATTTGTAAGTGTATACATATATGCAGTCTTATCCCATGTAGAGACTCCTGCACCCAGCACCACAATTCACATATAGAACCATTTTATTAAGAAAAATACTCTCTTCTATTTTATGGCTTGTCTCTGTACTTTGTTAATTGTTTCCTTTGTTTGCAGGTTTTTAATTTCATGTCATCCTTTTGTTCTCCTTTCACTGTTATTGCCAAGAAAGTAAAATCGTGGAACTAGAGAGTAGGAAGATGTCCAGTGGATACTGAGGGTTGATGATGAAGGGATGGAAGATTGTCGATCAAAGGGACAAAATTTGCACATACATGGGAGAAATAGTTTTTGATGTCTATGGCACAACTGCATGATTATAAGCAATTATAGTGCCTATTTCAAAAATAAGAGTGAATGCTAACTGTTTCACTATAGAAGTAGGAAGCAAGGATTTGGAGATGTTAATTATCTTAATTTGATCAATCTGTATTTTATACATATATCAAAATATACTATTTTTATAAGTGCATGTAATAATGATCTTTTGAAAGGAATATAGACAATAAAATGTTATATAAGAGCATAATCATGTGCTGTATGTAATCTTTTGGATCAGTTTTCCCACTGAACAATATGTCCTTTAAAGCTATCCATATTGTTGCTTTTTCTCTGGTTCCAAATAGTATTTCATTCTGTTTTTCTTCTGATGGCATAATAGATTTAGAAAAGATTTTAGCCATTCACCCATCGATGGCCATTTGGGTTCTCTGCTGTCTTTTGCTATTAACAATGAAGCTTCTATGAACTATGAATATACTCTGTGAATATTCAAGTTTCTGTCTGACTACAGGCTTCTGTTTCTGTGCTATTAATAACCACATGTGGTATGATAAATGCCTTTTTAATTTTATAAAAACCTGCAATTTCCCATAATTTCTGTATTATTTTACATTTCCACTGTTTGAGAAATACAGTTTCGATACCTTTTTACTAGTATTTGGTGTTAGAATTATTTTTTATTTTACTTCACTAGGTATGTACTGGTGTCTTATACTTTAATTTGCATTTTCCAAAGAATTAAGTTGTTGAATATCTTTCCATATGTATTTCCATGCATATTCCTTCTTAGATGACATATTTGTTCATTTATAACGAGTCTCAGAACCATCATAAGATCCTTGTGAAATTTGGGCATTCTTATTTTAAGCTTCTGTCTAAATCATATCTTCCTAAAGTATATTATATCCACATGATTTAAGACCTGGGTGACAGATGAGCATTTGACATAGTCCTGTGTTCTGTAGACAATAAGGAAAATGTTAATTCTGATTTTATGGGTTTCATAGTTGGAAAACCCATTTTTTCCTCGAGGCCCGAATATTTATTTAGTTCCTTAGACAGCTTATTGGCACTGTGCTTATAACACTTGCTGTCAATTGCTAACCCCAGATAGATCAGGTTAATTATTCGGTCTCTTAATCTTTAGTCTTTTCACATATAAAGTGGGACTAATACTGGAGACAGAGGTCAGAGAAAGATCATAAATAATATGTGGAAAGTATGTAGTTCAGCATGACACATGGTCTGCACTTTGGTCTAACTCAGCTGTCGTAGTTATTAATGTCTAGCT